TGAAAAGTTCCTTTAGGACAACTTACGCATGGGAACATTTAATTATACGCCAATGTGTACACACATTGGCGTATATGTATTTATGAAATGCAACACAAAGCAAAAGCGAAACACATGTTTATCTCTGGAAAAAAACATACCTCCTCGAGGCGCCAGAGCCGAGTCCCGGCTGCGCTCTCACCTGTTGTGTGTCGAGTTGGCGGAACCCGGCATGGCAGCTGCCGCTGCCGCTGCCTCCTGGGCTTTGCGGTTAGCACTACCCAGCGAAGGAGGGCCCATCCCGGGCCCAGCTGGCTGGGGCATGCTGGGGGAGCTGGGGGCCATCGGCGGGTACACCCTGTTCTGGCTGCCCGGGCCGTGGCTGCGTCCCACAGGTATGGGCTGGCCGGGCCCCTGGCCGTGCATGGGGCTGCTTGCGTTCATCCCCAGACTGTTGGTCATGCCGGGGCCGGGGCCGCTGTAGCCGGTGCTGGCGGGCCCGCCGTAGCTGGAGGGCCGAGGATAGTTACCTGGAAGGGGACAAAAACGTAGGTATCCACAGATTAACACGATTGGTTGCCACAAAGCTGATGGATCCGTAACCTCTCTGACCTCCAGAGGAGGCCTTAGAAACGGTGTTGTGTGCCGTCGTTTTTTCACAGCGGTTGCCCGGTGGCCCGTCGGAGCGGTTGTCAATCTCCAGGCAGACTTTGTGGAACACTTGAAATGAGCCCTAATCTGCAGTAAACGCTTCCTCGCTGCCCTGGAGTGCAGCGCGGTCGCAACGCCGGAAGCTTTTCCCGAGGCCCACTTAGGCTCTGAGAGCGAAGCTCGACTCCGACACCAGCTGCAATCAGAGCTGTGAGAGCGTCACCCTGCTGTCAAAGACTACGTGCACATTCAGGCCCAACTGAACACACACACATCGCATTGTATTCCCTCTGCAGGCGCCGGGCCTTTTGACTGTGATATTCCCTCCGCGGGACAAATCCCCTGCAAGATAGAAAGGAAAATGTGGCATCCTCCATTGTGAGGGGGCTATTTATTTTGATTTGATTAAGGGTGCTTTAGTTGGGCCTCACTGCCTAATCCGCTGTGAATATGTCTGGAAAAGGGGATCAAATCCCCTTCAAAACCTGAAGGCTTTTCTGCACGCTCAGACGAGG